CGGAAACAGCATTCCGCGGCACCTATATTAGACAAACCAAGGTAGTTGTTAGAACGTTATGAAGAAGTGTTAGTGACAGTTCGTATACAGACAGATTATTCCCATATAACAATTAAAATTCTGGCATAAGAATGATATATCAGCAACCAATTAGCTTGCTAGTTGACGAGGATTTGAAGTCTAACCTGCAGGACTAGTTGTCATTTAACATAAAGCAAAACAACTTCCCTCATAATTCATCACCCTGACCGTACGTCTTGCAGCAAAAGAAAGCTACGTGATCGATATGCGGAATCGACCATGTTGGTAGAATCAGTGTGACAAGTGACATATCGAACAGCGTGCCCACGTAACTTATTCACGAGAGGTAGCTATAAGGACTCGACTCCAAGAATTGCCTGCCTCTGAGTCTGGCTGCAGTTCTAATGTTCATCAACTACAGACAGGGCATGCACTACGCATGGAGACGCTGAAAAATACATACATTTTAGTCGGCTAATTAAAAGTAAATACTTAGAAGGAAGGGATAATAACAGCCCAGGATAGTGTCCACTGGCGGAGAGTTGTGAACACAGCAATGATCCTTTGGGATGCATTAAATTCAGGAAACTTTATGCCAAGTTGATCGACTTTCAGCTTCTCAAGCGGATCTCTGCTCTACTAAGTCAGTCAGTCAATGACAGTCTATCAATTAACGAGATTAAAACATTATGCCATAAAAAGAACCAAGGAAGTTGTCTTAGATTTCAGATATAAACTAGATACGTAAGATTTATGCGCATGTCACATCAATAAAACTGGGGAACAGTGAAAATGTAAATGCTGATAAATGATTTGAACATAGGCGAATGACAGTAATCATAAATAAAAATAAATATACGCCCAGGCCTCATTAAGTTTAATTTACCAAAAAAACTTAAATTACTTAGATCGAATTTGTAGCAGGGCCAACTCGAAAGGTCATCTTATCCTACTTCAGTCTCAACCTGGATGGCAGTTATTCTGAAGTATTTCGTTATCAGTTGAAGGCATCGTAAATGAATCAAACCATTACTCTCTCGTCATTTTTCATTATCATCCTCTAATTTCATTAGATGCTACATGAACCCTTCATCAAGCGTCGTTAAATAACCAACAGTAGCATCCCGTATCTACAACATATTTATTTGGATACTTTCACTTCGGTTTATAGAAATGCACTACAGCTTCTAATTAGGTTTAAGTGCAGCTCAAAAAATTTTAATTTTACAGCAGTTCTAAAACCACGGCTTATCATATAAGTAATTTATAAAAGACGTGATATAAAAATCTCGGTAAGAAGACGTTTTGATAGCCTGCACCCTGTAATTAAAGACAAATACAGGACAACATTAAGCCTAACTGACTACATTCAGGCTGCGTGGAGGAGATGAGACAAACAGAACTTGTCGAGAAACCTGAGCATGCGACCATTTTCGAAGGTAATCGTCGACAGTAGGTGATATTCAAATTTATATTGGGGAGGGGGATATGTTCCGAATTGAAATTCGAGTTTCTATGAATACGAAGAAGAATTTTTGGATTCCATTGACCAGCTGAGCGACTATCTGCTACCTGGCGTTTATTGGGTTCGTCAGCAATAGATCTGTATGTTCAGTACATGGATATGAAAATTGGAAACGAATCTGTTCAGGTGATACCCTTAGTGTCAGCGCACTATAGCTTCGCCGGTCTGACCACAGCACCCATTAGCGATGCGGGCCGAGCGAAAGGTAAAAAGTGAAAAGGCATTGCACCATGGAGTGGGGGCGCCTTAAACACGTGTTACAACACAGAGCTCCCACAATCATCAAACTTGCAAGACAGCGCCCTGCGACAGTGGCACAAGTCACATAATCCTCACTGGAATTCGATCATTTCTTTCAGGTTAATTGCCACACGATTAGGCGTCCGTTACGAAGCAAGAATGCTACATCAAACAGTGACTGATTTCCTTGTACAAATGTTTACAAGAGACTGTACTGTGAAATGTTACTACAGAATTGAATAGACTGTGGCAGAATGGAATGAAACTGGGAGCCTGTAGTGGGACATAACATTGATGGAAACGGAATAGTAGAAAATGGAAATAAATAAATATAAAATATAAAATTGGCTTAATGTAGAACAAAACAAAATTAATCTGGTATATGTGAGTACAAAGCAGAAAATAACTAATTTAAATAGATTTATGGTTTACTTAACGATGCTATCAGTAACACTTGCACTATACGACATCGTATGATAAGATGACTGATAAAAAATGAATTGAAAATGATGTGTAAGGAAGCGATAGTAGCCTAATTTAAGATTCTATCCAGGTATTTACTTTGAGGCACTGAGGAAAATCTGTCAGGTCAGATAGTCTCAGGTCCGAAATTCGTTAGTGGGACCTCTCGTATTCAAAGTAGAAGAGATAATCACTTAGCGGAGACGTTTGGCGTAACTAAATAGAATAGAATCAGAGTACAATAATGTAATAAAACGGAACACAACATAATACAACAGAGCAACAGAAGGCAAGTAGAACAATATTAAGTGTATAATACGATAGGACAGAACGCTACTGAATAAAACAGAATAGCCTGTTAACAAATATGTTGGATTCCGGTTAACTGGGAAACATCGGGACTAGAACACTTTGCCCCAACTATGCGAAGTTCCACGTAAAGAATTAAAAAGTTTTGTTCTTTAAGATTTGTCCCAAATAAACGACTGCCCAGATTAACCGATGGCCCAATTAACCGGAAACTACTGTATTAAAACTATTTATCAATAATAACAGACATAGGTACCAGCAATGGCAAGACTCCTACTGAAAACTATTTCCTCTGATATTGTATGTTAGCTCTAAAATTTCTTAATTTCGCCGTGACTTTGCGGCAACTTCTCCGACCTCCTTGTAAACCGTGTAGTCTACTGATCGTCTTGCAGGGGTAAATTAAGAAATACTCTGCATTGTCGAAGCACAGTTACCTTTAAGTTACTACGTATATTTTGTATGGAGAGCGCGATTTTAGACTGTTCGCGCACTGAAACCTCTGGTTCAAATCCCGTTCAGGACACGAATATAACATACAACGTGCCAATATTTCTGCAATATTTTTGCGATAAATCGGTCTCGAATACAAGTTCTGCCGAACGTTTAACAAATTAGGTGTAGTGAAAATATTCATCCTTAAAAATACTGTGGAAAAGGACTGACTATGAAAGAAAAACTGGGAACTAAATCGGCACTGATAGAAACCCACAATTCTGCAGCAAGGCTAGCGGCTATACACCATTAAAACCAAAATGCGGGTTTTATGGAATGTTACTTCAATATCACTATCAACACAAAGTAAAAATTCCAGTTTTTGTTTCCACACACTGGGCTGTAAAGATACAACTTTCCTTCTGTAAGAAGATTGTGAGAACTTTTGAAGTTTTAATTTCCATTGATATTAATAACACGAATAACAATAATATATTTATTTTGGGTTGTTTCTATTTCGATCGCTAAACGTCAGAATCTTCTAATGACTAGTGAATAGCCTATTCTAAATGCTAAATGCATTGCTGGCCTATAGGCTAATAACATTATGTTATTATCCAACTGTCAGCATGCGTCTGCCACTGAAGCAGTTTAAGGATAATAACGAATTATAAAGGTGTGCAAAGTACAAACTTCGGTCCGGATATAATAATTCTGTTGTTTTGATGCTCCCTCTAAGCAATAAATTTATTATAAACAGAATACAAGTAATAGATGCAATCAATATTTGTGAAAGCAATTATACGAATTTACTGATACACTATAAGTCTATTCTAATCATTCCTGTTAGAAACAGGTTTTCCGATAAACTATCTGGTTCTCGAAATAGACTGATTTTTCAGCTCTCTTCTCCAGCCTGGGTTATACTGTATTCAGTTATGTAGGCCTACGTAATAGCTGTAGCTTCCTCAAAGATAATCACAATCAGAAGGCAGATTTCTGCAGTCAACATTGCTAGTGAGCATGCAACGGCAAACATTAGGTTCCTTTGACGTAGATATGACTTTCATTGCATCATGTTACGATCTCTGCGGATTATTTCCACGAAGATAATTCACCGGGACCACAGTGAATGGCTACGAGTCGAAATGTTGCAATCCAAGTGTGATTGCTACTTTAAAACCTATGTTTAATATTAGACGTGATTTAACAAAACGATTACTTCAGCCTTACGTTAGTATATAAATTGCATAATCATATTTATGTATTTTTAAAATCAATAGACCTAACCCCGAACTGTGAGATCTTTCCAAAAATGGTTCTTCGTTTCGTAAACTTTTTGGATTTATAATCCCTTACTCTGGCACCGACGAATTATCTACGTTATGACAAATTCAGGCTCACTCTTAAGACGGAAGCTCTTTAAAATTGCAAACATATGCTTATCAGAACATTCTGACCAGTTGAGTCCAAGATATCTGCTCCAATTGCTATAAAAAAATGATAACATGTAATGAAATCTGCTTTACATCTGAAGCACAATTAATTCTTCATTCATTCTACATATATATATATATATATATATATATAAAAAGGAAAACTCACAGTGGCTAACTCCTTGACTAGATGATGATAGAGATCTTAAAGAGAACTCGATGCTTCTTTATTGAAAAATCAACTGCTTTAGAAAATAATCACTCTTTACTGTGATAATAATAATACCCGAAAGAAACTCTTGTGACAAATACAGAGTTTCTGATTGTAAATTCAGGTGGTATATATAATTATCACTATGCTGCAAAAGATTATCATCCACTGATTACATTGACCGAATTTAAACAAATTTCACATTCATACATTTCGATATTGGGTGACTACATGTACATTCCTGTCGTTACGATCCGCCATTACTAGACCAAAGTGATGGTAGATGTCACAAGCACTCGACCTCCGACACATGCACTGAGGCCGTTGTTGCTCCAAGCTAAGCTGGCAACATAATGTGCAGGGGAAGACATCAAAGACCCGTTGCCTGGCGACCACTTCACAACACGCGTGGAGGATGGACGAGGCCAGACGTCATTGGTCAGCAACCTGCATGACTCCTTGCCCGCCATCTTGCACAGCATAGTCCAAACTATCACGTACCGGGGAGCTGTGCTGAAGGCCTCCAGACACCTTCCTTTCCTTGTGTAAGCCTATACGGTTTTGGAGAAACACAGATCTTTCTTCCTAAAATTAACTATTTCTGTGCCTGATAATGCCTGGCTATATATTATTACATCATACGCGTTTGTGTACTTTACAGGCGCGTTTTGGCAACCAATGTCATCAACACCGTTTCGCAATAACTGGGGTCACATAATCCTTAAATTATACAGTCTCTTTCAAAACCGTATCTGACATGAAACACAGCCGATACACTGTTCTTATCCATAAACTCCAGTGCTGACATCTATTTATTATTCTAAAATGTGGGTGTCCCGTTCGCGCTGTGTTATCACTCACAGCGTTCTACAAATAAGATCTGAGGCTTTCATGGCGAATAAATGCATCAACGCTGATGGACATAGAGCAGGTCTCCAAAATGTTGTTTTTTTAGCCCAAATCTGACGCGGCTGGTTATCTAAGAGGATTCTGGAGCGTTTTACGGATTTTTGCATAAACACCCGTTCATTTTTATATATTATTTTTACATTAAAATCCATTTGGGGCCACTCTTTCTATTGAAGATTCTCTAATTTAAAATAATATAATTTTACTATAAGAAAAATAAAAATTCTTTTACCTCAGCAAATAATTAGTATTATTTCACAAAAGCCTCATTCCTACAGTAGGCCTATATATTTTGTTGGTGGCGAAAGTTTGTGTATAGCCCCGTCGTTAACATTCGGAGCGACCAGACTTAAAACACGTGTCAGTGCGCGTCTCTCAGTGATTTGAAACTTTCTGTATGATGACGCTTAATCTACGTAATGAACTGGCTTGAAACTAGGTACAGCAGGCTACTGCGATGCTAATGAAACTCTAGAATCGCTGATACAGACAATGCTCATTTTGCAGGATGGAGACCGTCAGTAAGAGCGACTCGCTGTGTCGTGTGTGTGGGGACAAGGCGTCGGGGAAGCACTACGGGGTGCCGAGTTGCGACGGTTGCAGGGGCTTCTTCAAGCGCAGCATCCGACGGTACGTGCTGTGGGGGTGGTCCAACGTTTAACTTTATAATTACTGCAGAATACCAACTTATCATCATTAGGCATAATATCCCATAATAGTGGACACGCTTACTGTCATTCAGTTAACATGTAATCTTCTCTAATTCCATAGCTCCATGATACAGAAAAAATTGTCACCTGAATAAGAAAATCATGAACATTCATCGAGGTCTTAAAAATCCTGCTATTAAAGCTTAGTTAATTTCAGAACAAGTTATAGAGAAATTATTTGAAACTAAAATATATTTACTAATACGGGAGTATACAAGGAGCTGTTCATAAATATTATATTCATCACACAGTACTGTTAGAATTATTAAATTGGACTATTCGAAAAATTCAATGTAGTGCAAGTTGAGTATTTTCAACCACAGTAAGTCGGTATATATTTTTAAAAAGTTGCATTCAATAACATTTCATACATGATAGTTCCTGAGAAGCCGTAGTATTTTCCAAATAACTGTCTCGTTTATGGTTTACAGTAATCTTGACTACGTGTGTAAGGAGAGCGGACGTTGTGTGGTTGACGTCACACGGCGTAACCAGTGTCAGGCCTGCCGCTTCAACAAGTGTTTGCAGGTTAATATGAAGAAAGATGGTAAGTCATCTCAGGAATCACTCTGTATGCCGTGCCGGAAAATATTGTGATAGAACTCTGACACAAAATTCAGTGTACTTCAATAGACCTGCATCCTATATGACTGAGTACTGCGACTGAGGTAGGGCCTACGCTCTGTTACATTCTAATACGTCAAAGAATGTGAAGAAGAAAATGTCTCGCTTTTCATCATAAATTTCAGCAAATGAAAGCACGTGATAGTCAAATCTATGAATATGGGGCATTGATACTCTGATACACTTACGTTTTGTTACGTTTTAATGGGTCATCGCCCTGATGATGGAGGTAACAAGAACCTCTGAAACGTCGGTAAACTTCTACCAGTCTACACAGCGCTACAACCAAACTCTTCAAACTCACAGCCGCGAAAACCTCAAATCCTACAGTAACCTGTTTGATTTTCATTGTTACAGACACATTCCCTATTTAAATATCCTAAATTGCTCATTTAGGCCTAAGTCACGTCTCTTATGTTACATCAAAACATCTTCTTAGGTACTGAAAGCTATGTTCGTCCCTCCAAGAGAACAAGGACGTTTCATTGTTACACAGAATTCGCAAATTGTGGTACGATAAAGGTCTTTAATGCTTCGAAACATATACAGGATGACAAATCGGATAACGGAGTAAAAATAAAGGTCACTGTTTCAAGACATCGCTAAAAAACAATGGTCTAGGCTCACACTAGTGCAAGATTTGACTAGAATTCAACAATAAACACATTAGAACAACAACTACCCAAGTGATGTGGCGTGGAGAACGCCTTTGGAACGTTCTGTGTACTTCAAAAACTACACCAATAGCAGTCTATTATTATTTCTGACGTTGAAAACGTCGATACACCGTGGTTCTGATAGCGCGGCTGAGTAGAGCTATCCTCGGTTCTAATGCCGCATGAGCGCTCTTCATGTAAAAAAAAGCGGTTTCTCGATCGATATGTATAGAAAATTCATGTGAGAACCCGCGATGTGTTGGGTAACCCGCTGCTCCAATATTTGACTTGATTGCCGCTAATATGACGTAGCAGACAAAACACATCCGACACCGTAACCACTCCCTGACGTATTGCAACTCGAGGGGAAACGCCTGTGTAGTTTCAAGCACACTGACACGACAATGCGTCACCCTTGAAGACGGCAGTGGTAAAGACGGAAGTGACTGTGACAATCAGCCACAGAAAAAAGATCTGCTATCGACAGCACATTTAATGCTAAACGTGTTGATGTAACAATCAGCACTTTGCAAAACGAGATTCCAGTGTACAGTTGATCCTCTACGACCGAAGGCAGGGCTGTCCAATGGGATGTAGTACGAGCTTCTGCTGCTAGGGGGTGCGGCCTACATTCATAGTGAATCAGTGTGCCAGCCGGCATCATCGAATTAGCATTTGTTTCTTAGTTACGGGCGTTTTGGTAGTGCATTACACCGACCCTCCTGCGATTTCGGAATGGCGTGTGCATCAAATTTTGCCAAAGACTCGCCAAAACGGCTACGGAAACCTATGAAATGCTAAAGCAAGCATTTGGGGAGTCCGCAAACTTTTGTGTGGCATTCACGTTTTAAAAATGGCCGAACCTCTGTCGATGATGACGAGCGTTCTGGACGACCATCTTCGAGCACAACGCCCGAAACTGTTACGAAGATCGACGTCGTACCATCACTTGTACGACTTGTGCGACATTGTTGGGATAGGCTATGGGGCCTGTCAGCTGATTCTAAAGGAAGAACTCCACATGCGACGCATCGCAGCCAAGTTTGTGCCAAGGTTCCTGTCTGAGGACCAGAAGCAGAATCGCCTTGACTTCTCGTTTGTCAGGAGCTCAAAGATCTTGCAAGAACCGACCCCAGCTTCCTTTCTAAGCTCCGTGTGACTTCTTCCTCTTCCCAAAGATGAAAATTCAGCTAAAGGGATGGAGATTTGAGACGATAGAAGAGATTCAGGCAGAATCGCAGATGGTGCTTGACAGGCTGACAAAGAAAGATTTCCAGGGATGCTTCCAGGCTTGGCAGCGGCGCTGGGATCGTTGTGTTCACTCCCAGGAGAACTACTTCGAGGGTGATGGATGAATTTAATACCTGAGATAAGTGTACGGGTTTTTATAGGCGCAGTCTTGAAACTTTCCGATCGCACCTCGTATAGCTCAATTAAAAACAAAAGTAGATGGCACAGCAGGGAGATTGAGCAGATTAAAACAGCGCCAACACGTAGGGTTATATTCGAGGGAGGGGGAGTGAACGGGCTCGATTCTCGTCCGAGGAACCATCTACCCGTATCTACAGTTGCGTGGTTTCCCTCAGTCTCTTCATGTAAATTCCGGTCAGTATCTTCAAGTGGGATATTAACATATTTTTCCAGTCATGACTCAAGCTCGCAATATTTTGATGTTTTAGTTACCAACGACCACAGTAGCTCATACCATAGAGTCTTGAATAATGGGATGATTAAATTGGAAAGGATGTTGAAGGAAGGTGTTTTGAGAAAATTTCATACTTCCCTGGAATCTGTCTTCAAGAATTTTTGTAAAACCACCGAAAGAACTTCGCGAGTGCCGGTGTCGTGGCCGAGGTCTAAACCAGTGGCTTCCACGACTATAAAGCCGAAATCCTAACTACTCGGCCTTTACATTCAGTCACGATCCGAGAGTCTCTGATATGGGGTAGTTGAGTAACCTAATACCGAATCAAGAATCAGAGCGGAGCACACAGTGCTGTTCAGACCAATGCGAACCGTAGAAACACTACAGAACAAAGCTGTGTTTGCTGAGTAACAAGGTAAATTGTAAGACGATGCGGGTTGCGTCTGACAGACTCCTCTGCCGAGTGCTTCTCGAAAGGACAAAAAAAGCTGTTAATGAAGGAAATGAAGATTTAAGACAAACATGGACACTGGGCGCAAAAGAGGCATAAGTGACTCGGCGGGCCAGACACCCATTTTCCTCGGTATACGCAATCGTACTAGCTGTCACCAAACTGAATGCTTCATGGCCACGAGGCACAGCGCTTCTAGCTTCGCCACAAGTAACACACCTGAATTAATATAGCTCAAGATAGGGACAGTTCAACACGAAAATAAACCTTCGAGTTCCATAAAATAAGGAGAATTTCTTGACTAGCTCAGCTTCTTAAGTTGTATTCTAGGTTAACAGCGCTACAACCCAGAAGACAGCCATTTTTGAATATTTGAAGTTTCTAGGGGATATGACGGTAAATCTCTAGTCTAAGTGTTTTAGAAATCGGCACTACAATGACAACAGTCAGCTTCGCGCTCCGTCTCAGTCATCCGCTGAGACAGGGTGGGGCTCAGATACACGAATGTGTCTGAGTAGGAGAGACATTCCTGCCCTGGTGTCCAACATGTACTTGAGGTTATGAAGCGACCGAAATGTCAAGCTATCTGTTACTTGTGTCACTCTTGCTACTCGGAAAGACAGCTACTGCTGATGGGAAACGCAGCTTCTGGTGCTGACGGCTCGAGCTAGTCACTTGTTTGCTTTGCTGGGGTACAATAACACGCCGCGGTGACAGGGCGCCAAATGATGCAACAACAATGGTTTATCATTGTCACCCCATCGATCCACCCAAGTGTCGGATAATGGGGGCAAAATGAGCACAAAATTCAATAACCACAACACAAGGGGCTCTTTCCCCAACTTGGGTCTCATTTACTTACAGTATTAAGAGGGAGAGACAAGTGTCGATCTTATCTGTCGGTCTCAAAAACGGGGCAGCGGAGGGGGGGGGAAATTGTGACAGTGCACACGAACTTCACCTATTCCTGTCCAGAAGGGCGCAAATTCTTGGAAGAATGAAATTCTGAAAGAGGGAGTGCCATTAGCATCACTTTATAAGTTTGTATCATAACAATAACATTAGGTTCTCCAGGCTTTGTGCCTCGACTTTCTTTGTCTGGAACATTATCGCCTGTTTTTAAAAAAAGTCTTTAAAATATCTTAAAAATCAGCTGCGCTTCGAATGGTGGATATTCACTCGTCTTCAGGCAAAAAAATAAGGTGGGGGGGAAGACACCTGTTTCCCGTGGAACCAGATTTTTGTCGAAATAAGAACAGAGGCACTTTCCGCATGCACGTGCCAACACATATTACCTATGCCACCTACGTCCACATATGGGTACCAACAATGACGTAGGCAAGGGTCATATAATAAATAAAATATTTCTTTATATTGATAGTCGATATTCGGGTGGAGATTTAAACCCAGGGCCTCCAGAACACAAAGTAGAATTGTCAACCTTTTGGCTACGACATTGGACCCCAAACAGACAGTAGAAGACTCACGACATTATAATCAAACATACGAATTTTGTAAATGTTCAGTAATTTTAATAGCATAACTCCAGCCAGTCAATAAAGATCTGTATTCGGGAGTCTTGTCTATTGACGACTGTGACTATTACTCTCGGTATTGTGATAGACATGTACGTAAGAAAAATTATGTGAACGAAAATATTAGCATTGCAAACGACAAACACTGCGACGACATGAATGTTAGACATGATGTCTCACTTTAAGATAGCGAAAATTAGGCACAATAATTTAGTGTACACGTTCCGTTGGCCCAAATGGAAGGATTTAAAGGAAAGTTGACATCAAAAGTTCTTCCCAGAAGGAGTGACGTATTGAAAAGCTTTCGCTAGTGATGAAAGAGATAAAGACACTTACGACGTCAAAGAAGCGAGAATTGTTTGCCGTGGTCTTTTATCTAGAGGACCAAGGCTCAGGAACTTGCAGAGTTCTTTTAATACCACCAACAGGAATATTACTTACTATTACTCTGAATTACATTTCGGGTTCTATAAAATACGTATTTATTCAGTAACTGAGTGACTTCCCAAGAAAGACTATGTCCCATGCAGTTATTTACGTAACTGGTTTTGAGACAGAATTATTCTTCAGTTAGATGATACACTTTGCGTCCTCGAAAACATTTTTACAACAAAATTGACATAAACTTCTGTTCTTATATGCATTCTGTAACGTTGTAGGCCTACTATTAGTATTTACGGAAAGCACAAACCATTACAATGACATTTTTTTTTATAATTATTTAATTATAAGTTTGTTCAGTTTAATAAATTCCAAAACTGGAATTAAAAATTAATTTCTTATATCCAGACTGTTGTCTTCCGGGTTGTGACACCGTATATTATGCAGCCCTGAAGATGGACACATTATGTATCTCTGTAACGTTAGTATCTACATACGAGCATAACCCATAAGAACATTGTAATCTTCACTGCCGTGAGAATCTCAAATTATGCACAATTATTCTTGTATGTGATTTAAAATTTTCAGACGAAAGAAATTAAAGTCTTAGATTCTTCACTTGCATTGGTAATGGATGAAGGGAGATGTTAAAATCTCAGCCCGGGGATAGAACAGCAGACCGATGGCTGGTTATAAGAGCGTTTTTAAGTCCTGCATCTAAATTCAGTCACTCCAAGGCCGTCTGTATATCTTTGTTCATTTAACGACACTGTATGTATTACGTAGATTATATATTTTCAAATGACGAAAATGATTATAAATCATGTACTGTGGCGAAATTGCCACGGTGGTCTAGCGGTTAGAACGCTGGCCTTGTAATCCTGGGGTCTCGGGTTCGATTCCCGGTGGTGCCCGAATTTATAACTTGTGTTGGGCAAGGCCGTGGCCTAGGCAACACGGAGTTTTCCTCATTGGCATCCCAACAATTACTCCATTCACACTCAGAAGAAGGCAATGGTAAACCACTTCTGGATCATCTGCCAAGAACGTATATGAACAGGTCCCAGTCCGAGAAAAGGATGGAAGGATCCTGTTCATATGGACCTGTCGTCAGACAGAACACTAAAAATTAAAAAAAAAATATTTATATACGTAGGAGAGGTTCATGTGTTTGCTACAAAACTGCAAGTATACAGCAATTTAATCTTATGCCATAATCATCACATACAGACGTCATAAAACTGACCAACTCTTTCTGGTCGTGACACAGAGACGTTCATTTTGCAGCGGTGCAACACGAGAGGGCGCCGCGGAACGCGCTGTCACATCACCATCACCACCACTACAGCGGGGCGCGGCGGTCACTATACCATCCGGGAGCTTCTCCTCCAGGCCTCCTCGACCTGCCGCCAGCTACGGCCGCTTTGTGTTCAGGACTCGGGTACTTAACGAGACTTTGTATAATCATAAGAGAGAATTACAGGGAAGAAATTGAAATTGAAAGCATAAGATTCGTGCAAATAATATCCACCAGGAAGTTTAATCGAACGCTTAATGAGGTCTGGAGAAACAATCAGAGAACCGAACCAATTTATAAATAAGACTACACTCTTTGAACGAAATTCCGATAGTTGTCGACCCTTAAAGCATTGTCATGCGAAGAATTATGAGACGGTGCTTTTGTAATGTGAGCGGACTGAACTGATGATGATCTGAGTGTAATTTAAATACCATATAGTTGGATGACTACTAGTCACTATCAGCCTATTCACGAATTCAGTAAATCAATCACTCAAGCCGTCAGTTTGTTATTCTGAATTCGACTTTATAGGATGCTGTTAATGTGGATTGTCTCTTTCTAAAACAGGCTAAGACAGCTTTGACTTGCTCATTTGATGTGTGAGTCTTACTGTCAGGGCTGCTAAAATACAGTCGCTCTCTTGTATGAGGCCATACAATTCTGTAAACTGGCGAGCAGAAATCCACGGTAGTTACACTAACGGGCCGAATTTGTCTAAATAACATTCAAGAACTCAGAACTGGTTGAATACAAGAGTCGAAATCCAGTGTACGTGCAGTTCCATACGAGGGAACTTCCATAGTTTCTGAGGCAGTGAATTGCGTTTTAGTTATGATGAGGAGGACTTCGGATCGTATTTGAAGCCCTGCTTATTGTTACGAAACTTGAATTGTTGCAGGGGCGTACAGACGCCAGCTGCAGCGCTGTGTACGGGTCTGCAGCATAACACAGCTGCAGCGGCCGCAGCTTACCTTCACCAACAGCTTCTCGCCTATAACCCGGCAACCGTTGCGACCGGTGGACTGCCGTTCGCTGCCATTAAACAGACGGCGACTGGGTTCGCGGCGCCATTAGGTGAGCACGACAATCGCCTAACGGTGCAGTCCATTACTGCATTTGAGTGAGTAACGAACGAAGTCTTAAAGATTTGGGGTTCTCGCGGTAACGAGTAAAATGGCCGATGCCTTCATCGCCCTGATGATAGAGGCAGTAAGTACCTCTACAACGTCTGGTAATATCTACCAGACTACACGATGCTGCATCTTCTCAAACATTGAGAAAGAACTCAAATCCGTTTTCTACCACTAGGTTTTCCAAGTGTTCTATTTATACCCTTTAGGGCTTTAAACAAATTGCGTGCGCATTATAAACCTCCCCGAGGGTGATTTGCCTATTATTACTATTATAGATGGATTAACTGAATTAAATTATTAGGTTATAAGTGGCCTTGGTTGGCTGTTGTCAGGTACTTATAAATGAATTATTAATATCTTCTTCTGTATGCTCTGCTCTATTGTTACATAATTGAAGATTTTTCTCTTATAGCATCACGCCATTAAAGGGCGTACGTTGTGGAAGGTTCAGTGACGAAAAGGTTTAAAAAAGAAATTGATGAATGCTGACGTACAGCTGAAGAGATAAGCTTACGTTGTAACGGATAGACGATATTCTTAGTTTTCACAAATTTCAAGATCAAAAACTTTCTACTTGATCCAAAAAAATTTGTTTCAACTAATGAACAAGGGAACTCTTCTCAGGTTTACAGTTTCACCTCCAGTCATTAGGATCACCACCTTTGTCTCCTAACAATGCAACAAGCAGTTACCATCATCATCATCAGCAGCATCAACAACAACATGGTCGAGCAATGACGTCATCAGCTGCAAGCGCCAAGGAAGACGAAGTAACTAGTTCAGAAGAAGCGAAAGCCTTCACAGAAAATAATAATGCAGAAATCAAAGGTATGAAAAGTTTTCTTGCTTCATACCCTTAGGCAGAGGCCGTTTTTAGAAGGCAGGATTTGAGAATGAACAGAGAGAAAAGCTAAGTTTTAAGCCTGATATTCGATCCAGGTAATTACTTAACACGAGTGCGAGCTGTGACCACACTCAGTCCGCGTCCGGTCAATGTGGACGGCTGTAAGAGCCCGAACCTAATCAAAGCGAACAGTAAATGTGTTCATGTGTTTGTTGTTCAAAAGCTCGTAACGACGCCGCCAAAGCAGTTAAAATTTAGTAACAACAAACCCCGGCGTGACTTTGATCAAGAAAATGTAAACCCGTCGCCAAGCGTCGCGACGCCAACAACAGGCTCCACAATTAACGCAGATGAACTTCAGCATTTCATTGGAAATGAATCTTGAAAACTACGCCAAGACTAGTCATTTTTAGAACTGACAAACCTCGGATGACACCTAACACAAAGATGCGAATCCAACGCAGAGCGTCACGACGCCATTCGTTGCGACGCTCCATATAATGCCATATTTGTCACGATGTACCTCGAAATACCATCGGACAAGATGTTGGAAAATAGGACGGCATGCATCGCGACGCCCATTGTGACTAAGCCTAAATATAACAAACTTAGTGTAGGAGAGACTCCGGATGCCAATGGACACGATGTCACAAAAAACGCCGTGTCAAAATAACCCTGAAACCGAGTATTAAATGTAAGCGTGGCTTAACTTCCAAACGAAATACAAGATTCTGATAAAGGTAAGGTATTTTGAGATAACCTGAGGGAATATAAGCTACGTCAATTAACCTGAACTAACCTCAAGAAACATAATCAAACGTAGTCTAAGGTAACGAAAACAAAACTAAACCCAACATAACCTACGCTAAGTAAGCACACGGGTCAACTTCTGTCTTGTTGGTCTTCTAATAGATCCATGCGACGGAGGCTACCGAGTCAATGAAGGTGAGACGTTGACACCCACGCCATCTCTGAGCCGGCAGTACTCACTACGTCCGCTCGACCTCACCTGTCTCACCCTCCTTCCGGCAGAGAATGTTTATGAATCGGCAGCCAAGTTGCTCTTCCTGGCAGTGAAATGGGCACGAAGTATCCCCTCATTTCTACAGGTATAGCTTAAAAACAGTAAGCACTATATTTCGCTTTTGGGGTTTGTAGTAATTTGTTCCGTCCTACTGCTTCATCTCTCTTAAGTCCAAATATTCTCTTCTTCAACACACTGAATGTAGGCTGTGTTATTCCATTTATTTCACACAAAATGGCTGTTTAAAGTAATTTTACTTAGGTTCTTTAGCATATTGGAGTTACTTAATACAAAGTATGGACATTATGTGTTGCAGTTGACGTTTCGCGACCAAGCCATCTTGCTGGAAGAGGCATGGAGTGAGCTATTTGTACTGAGCGCCGCGCAATGGGCGCTACCTGTTGACGAGGGTAAGAACTTGTTCAGTAGGTGTCAGTTGAATTCAGAGGCACATTTTGAAGTAAAACACTCTTACTGTTTAATACATCCTCTTAAATGTGTGCCACTTGAAAGATTTAACTTCGTTCTACGAAGCACAAAAACACAACAAGTCAATTCCCTGCCTCGACAGGTAGACATGTACGTAAAGTAGTAAGCGACCACTAACTAATCACAGATTCTATCTCCAGTTGGAATGGCATTTTCTTATGTTTCATGTCAGAATCGCTGGTAAATGGGGCGGTGGCTCCGGCATCACGGCACGAGGTACTCGAGGAAGACGCCCGGCGTCTGCGAGACACAATCTCACGGTTCGTGCTCCTAAGGGTCGACCACACAGAGTTCGCCTGTCTCAAGGCCCTGGTTCTCTTCAAGGCAGGCACGTATTGATACCAGACAGTCAAGTGAACTACACCACGAGGAATTTATGAGCAGATTTAATGCGTGGAAATGTCTGCTGCCATGCAACCCAAAAATCCCCTATCTTCATATATATTCTATCTAAAAACATAAGATTTAAATACAAGCCTACAAAAGTATAATTTAAAGTTTTATGCAGACGTTAAAATTGGTTTCTCAAGTTAGGAAAAACACAGACTACGAACTTTTGATGAAGTACTGAGAAGAATATCTGGACCTAATGGACAGGAAGTAACAAAACCATACACAAGATTGGACAACGCATTTTTACGTCCAATAATAAAGAATGACAAACATTGTTTTGAAAACAAAATACCGCTGATACAGCTGTTTGGCACTTTGCATGTTAGATTTTAATAGCTCAGTCAGGATAGTGACTAGCTACGGGCTGGACGGCCGGGGTTTGATCCCCGACGGGGACAGAGGATTTTTCCTCTAGCCTCTGCGTCCAGACCGGCTCTGGGGCCCACCCAGCCTCCTCTACAATGGTACCGGGGTCCTTTCCCGGGGGTAAAGCCGGCCGGGGCGTGATGCCGACCACTCACCCCCATCTAGTGCCGAGGTCAAGGAAGAGAGGAGCTATACCTCTACTCACCCCAAGCGCCTACATGACGTGTAGTGGGACAAACTTTACTTTACTTTACTCAGAAACAGTGCCTACTTCTGTAGGTACTATTAACATATTTAATAATATTTCCCCGCTACATCTTGACACTTGAATTCTTTTCCCTTCATCAATGAAAATAAGACCGCCGTGAAAGAGTACAAACGTATGAAGTCATTTATTTATTGTCTAAAACGCAACACGGTTAACACCCGTGGAGCTCATCCTACTATACAGATTCACATGAGCGTCCTCCCACCTCAAATGTTCGCACGACCCTATGTATGTGTTATTAATGAAAAGAAGTTAAAAATAAGAAAGACCGACTGATCTCTAGTGACATCATTTTCAGACCACGTTCTGTCAAAATTCGCGAGTTCTTTTAAGTTAATCTACTAGGGGAGGGCTACAGTAGTTACTTGTAAACACATTTTCTGAGTAATCGCAAACAATTCCGAATATTTAACTCACCGACTAGTCAACTGCAACATGCAGGCGATATTAAGTTGGCAACCTTTTTTCAGAGAGCCGCGGACTGCGTGATGCAGCGCATGTTGAACTCCTGCAGGACCAGACTCATGTGATGCTGCACGAGTACTGTGCTGCCAGACACAAAGCAAGATTCGGCAAGCTACTGCTGTTGCTGCCATCTGTCGGCAGCCTGAGCAGGCAGAGTCTGGAAGAGCTCTTTTTCAGAAAGACAGTCGGCGATGTTCCCATAGAAAGACTCCTTGGGGACATGGTCAAATCCGCCTCGGGCTAGAGCGAACTTGAGTGTCTTATGGGCTGAAAATTCGTCATGATTTTGAAGGACGCATTTATGGGTGCTGTTCGTTTCTCAAAGATCAATAACCAGACATTTTTATCATTTGGCGATTTTAATCCATTTCTAGAATAAACAGTGCTTATTTTTAATCACCTTTACTACGGTATAGAAAACGGAATGCATTTCCATGGACCCTAATTTCAAAATAGAGAGGCTTACAGATGTATATAATAGAGTGGGCAAGAAATATTTGACATATTTAAAACTTTATTTTCTAAAACACACTAGTATTACTATTGTCTCATATGTGCTTGTAAGATAAAATGAACCGGAGTGGTGTGTAAATACAGAGACAGCAAGATTCCAGAACACTGTGCATTTATTCCGTTAAATCATTTCGGCTCAGACCCCAGAGCGTTCTTTTGCCGGACAATATGAAGTTACGCCTTTAGCGTAGTATTCAACTGTATTAGGAACTGAACATCACTTAGGACCACGCTGAACGATGACGACGACTTCACATTTCCTTACGCGCTCCAATTGGTCCAAGAACAAAGTGAAAAACTATACACGAACAAGGATGAAATTTCCAAACACGTTTATTTTTATAACCGTGGTGATGGAGGCAGCACGCACCCCAGTAACGTCAGTAAACCTCTACCAGGCTATACGGCGCTACAACCTTCTTCCCAAATGGTTCTTGTTCCTCCCTGTCTGGTAACATCCAGTTACGAGGAATAATGCGCTAAATATAACGAAGACAATCAACATCATCCTCGTCAACAACAGTCTAAGAAAAGGAGTAACAGACTTGTTCAAAGAAGTGTTTATTTATTATTATACTGTGCACTATATAACAGGAATATGGCTGAGCACCTTTGAATGTGTCTTGATTTATACATGTATTGAACACGTACGTATGCAATTACTCTCTATATATATTTTGTGTTTGACTGGACTTTATAACCATTGGCAGAATAACTGATGACAAGCAAACAGAAAAGCTACAATACAAAGAGTTGCCCAATTCAGTAAACTAAATGACGCTACCGTTGAAGAAGACTTTGATGTTTGTAGGTTAAACGTGCAAAATCGTGTACATGTTAGAAACACTAGACGATTCCGTCAACATAAACTTTTCGATTGACTCACTATATCCATGGTGGGAGAAGTAAGGTCAGTCATGCTTTCGCTGATGATTGACCATCTTCCACCACACACTTCCTACGTATGAATAGGCTTTGAACTCGAGTACGGACAACCGAATGTAATTAAGTTTTATAGTGATAAATTTGCGAAGATATGTAATTATTTTCAGTTTTCACTTACATAGGGCAACTTTTTCTACCACGTTATGTAAGAGCACTAAGCCTAGAATGTTTTTGGATTATTCTCTAACACTTGTGCTAGAATGTTGGTTAAACTGGTTTTTTAGCTCGCTTATATAAACATGCAAAATAAGTTGAATAAATGGATCTTACCTCACTGTAGTATGAATTAAACATGTTCTTTATGATAAAAATTACGTCACACGCAGAGCATTTACATTTTCGTCCTCCATTTCACTACACTCCACCTTTCCCACCATGGACTGTACCACTGCCGAGACATTAAGAATGTTACCATAGAAGAAACAGCCTACTCATACATTCACTCATTTGAAATAAATAAACAGAACATACCTTAGCAGAAGACGTTACTTTGATGATTAGTCTAACAAATGCCTCTCCTGCAGTCCTTGTGATAGAACTTTTATTACCTTCTTTCACTACACCACACTCAACTACTGTCACCACCTGACATGTGAAAGACGATACGAATCACTGGAAACGGAACTGACGTGCCTGTGAAAAAGTAACAAAATCGAATCGCTTGGCATTCCACGTGATCAGTTTGACACAATGAGAATTAAGTCTATCGAGTCAAACCTAATTTTCGCCCCTTGTTCTGTGAAGTATTGTATTATTAAAAATTTATATCGGGCCATTATCACAAATATTACACGTCCCCCACCAACCCAAGAGTAGGCACATTTATTGTTACACCCAATAACTACTGTCATACTAGCATGGATTCTTTGCTGGCATTGTAAACCATTTATCCCCAAACAAACTGACTGGCATTCGAGTAATTATTTGTGTCGTAACAGTGTAATTGACTGAAAATTAGTCGTAACCATGTAATTTATATTTGCATTAGAAACAAGTATTTGTACTATAACATGTTCTACATCCTTGGCTTGGGCCTATGGATTGTAAATAAATTCTATTGTATTCAGAGGTACTTACTCCCTTTCATCAGTGCATCCTGCAGTGAACAGAAAACTGGACAGTTTGCCATACTCATACTGGGTTAAAAGTTAAATGCCACGGACATATCTGAATTGTAATACAACCCGCAAAATGCATGCTGCTACCATGTTAATATTTTTCTACACAAAATACATTTCATGTCCAATTTTAATGGTTCACTGCATGAAGCCTAGAAGTATATTATTCATTTTGCCCATCTGCCATGTTCCTGAAGTCATACCAAATATTATCACTACTTCTGATTCTATAATACTGAAAATGCTGTAACTTTGACTTCACT